ATTGAACATTTTAAATTTATTTTACTTATTTCAACGTAACACGTTCCTTTTTTTAAAGCAAAGCCGCTTTTATTTTGAAAGCCATTTTCCGGTGTGGTTGATTCCAGGTGGACGAGTCTGTCACTGAAAGGCAGCGGCTGTTTCTAGAAAACAAATGCTGAGCCTCGTCATTTTCTAAATGAGGCTCCTTTGCACATTGCTGGCAGAGGGGAGAGGTCAACGAAAAAAAAAAAGTACCCTCGCGTCACTTTTTACCTGCATGACGTCATAGTGGAAAACTGACTCCTGTCCAATCCCATCACCTGTCAGAAAATAGCATGTGATCACGCAGAGGCCTCCACGCAAAAGGTGTCTTACGTTTTGATTTATTAATTTTTTTTTTGTATGTAAAAAAAACACGAGATAAATAAAGTATTTACATTTTAATGAAGACAACAACAAAAAAATAAACCATATGGAAGCCATGGTAACACAACAATTAAACTAGTTTACCTTTACAAAGTAAACTTCTAAATTAAACCCTAATTGTACTTTTTTTCTTAGCTGAATGCATTAAGTACAACTGAATAACATTCTCATTCTCTATAAATATATGCTACATGTTTAGATCTGTGGTTTCTGTTACAAATAAACTTTTTCTAGGGGCCCCTGAATGGCCCTGAATGACCCTGAATGACCCCTACCAGCAGCTACTGAGTTTTCTTTGCCTTGAGATCCCAGTCTTACAATTCTAGATCTCAGAGGTGAAAACATCAAAAAGTTATATGGCCTTAACCCCTTTGAGCTTATAAATCACTCTGCAGCCAAGTTATTCTAGAGGTTAAATAAATATTACTAGAGCTTAATTAGTAAAATTTCAGCAAATTTGCTTATTTCATAACTTCATAACCAGTGAGCTTCTTTCCTCTGGTCTGTTTATCAGCTACAGTCTCAGATCCAGGACTGTCAGCAGCAGAAACAGCAACTTTTCACCTGTTGGGGAAAATATATTACATTTGCGTTGCATTGTCCCCAGATGATGGCAATGATATACTAGGATCCAATCCCGCAGTGTTCAGTCCCAGACATTATCATGAATCAATACAATCCTACCAGGTCGAACTTGAACATTGGACCTCATGCTGCTAACACTTAGCTTTCGTCAACAACTCAGGCGGGAATGAGAGCGCAGATCAACGCAAGTAACGACCCACACAGAACACGGTGCCTTAAATAATAAAACACGACATTGTTCAGCCTGGAATGTGCTTCTTCCTCCTCACGGCTGGATATTTGTCAGTTTTTGGCTTCTAAGAACGATGGAGTATCGGGTGGTAATTTAAAAAGACACGGGTTGATAGCAGCTCGCAGGGCTGCGTAGTGTCCGTCTCTAGTGACAACAACATAGAAGCACAATTTATGCTGTTATGGGAAAATGTCTTAATTGGCCTCACTAAAAGCAAGCTGAACAATTCTGAGATTCTCATAAATCCTTTATTGTTACCAGCTAAATATCATATTCATTGTTCCAGGTCAGGAAAGCCATGCCTTGTTGCATTTTACGGTGAAGTTAAGTTTTATATCTGTAACGGTCTCGCTATGGTGTCCTGAACCAAGCTAACCATCAGCCAAACTCCTTTTACACGAGTCAGGATTAAACAGCTCTTCCTTTATTTACGTAGAATAGAATGAAACTGCCAAAACAGGAACAACATAAATTCAATAAATAACTTGCTTTGTTTCCCACACATTAACATAAACGCTCATTTTTAAGTATACATACAGGCATTGCATCGAAGAACTCGATCTGAACACGACATTCACAATATATCCGTCCGAATATCTGCTCTGCCGTTAACAAACGAACGTACTGACTAAATAACGTACACGTAAAACATTTCCCTGAAAGTCCAGCAGGTGGCAGCAATGTGCCATGCAAAATAAACACTCACAGGTTACAGGACAATATCTGAACTATCAAAGACTGACAAAAAAAACATCTATTAAAACAATTGAAATCTTTACTGCTTTGAATGTTGGGAACCGAAGCCCCTTGGCTTTTTCTTTTTATTGAATACCGTTTAGCTGTATTTATCTGTTTTGTTTTTTCTTGAGGTATAATACATGCTTCACTCTGTCGTTATACAGTGTATCTGAGAATAAAGTTTAAAAAAAAAACATCCATCCACTCTTTCACCCCCACATGCAAAAGACTTCTTGTGGTTTTGATGTGAAACTGTGATGTCACTCATCCTGTCTGGTGACTGGTGACTGCATCTATATTCCCAGATTATGCAGAGATTCATTTGGAGATTTACACCACAACAATGGCAGAAGAAGATTTATTTGTTCCCGAAGAGGCAATGCCTGAAAACAGCTTTTTAATAGAAAAAATCGAGACATTGAAGAGGAGCCGAAGGAGATGCAAGAAGAATGAGAGACTTCTAAAAGTAAAAGATGATTTGACAGCAAAATTGGAACGATTGACACAAGGTGGAAATAATAACAATGTGAGGAGTAATCAAATGGCAAACGAGCTGCTCATTTCAGAGAATGAGCAGCATAAAAAATGATTGAGGATTTAAATTGCGAATTAGAAAAAAAAAAAAACAAAAAAACAATTGAGCGGTTAGATAGTGATCACAAGGCAATTATGAGAGCTTATGTGGTCCTAGAAAGGACAAATAGGACAACAAGACAAAATGCTGAGGAATCTCTAGCGGAGAAATCTACAGAACTGGAGTCAATTATAGCAGAAAACCAAAAGCTCCCCAAAAAATTATTTGACTTAAAAAAAAAAAACTGCACACAATAAATGCCGGGGCGAAGTCCGAGGATGTTGAACAAGAACAGGTCCTGGAACAAAAACAAGACGACAACGGGCATGAGGACAATGATAAAGAGAAGCCGACGGTCCTGCAAAGAATTGGAAATGCTTTTGTTAATTTTTATAACTCGGGGACACTGCGCTATTGGGTTCCCCCTTGGATATTTTAATTTCTGAATTTGTTACTGTTACTGGGACCAGGAGCCTGGGGGGATAGCGGCAGAAGGGGGAGACATTTTGGGGGTCGCTGGGACCAGGGGCCTTAGGGGACGCGGGTGCATGTTTGTTGCATTGAAGGAACATGAACCCCCACAAAAACAACAACAACAACAAAAATCCAATTCTTCCAAACGAGCTTTTGGTTTAATCTTTTTAAAGGTTTTACTGTCAGGATCAAAAACATAATCTTCAAAGGGCTCCGATGTTAATCCATTGGCTTACACAGTTAAATGTGTGAGAGTCTGTACTGAAGGTAAAACATTTATATCTTGAAAACTAAAGATAACTGAGACCAAATCACCAGACTGAAAAGTTTTATCATCCAGTTTTTGATCAAATGAATTAATGTGGTAGAAAAACAATTGGAAAACTTTGATGTATGTCCCAATTGGAGACCTGAGAAATCACTGACAGTGCTTTTCGGCCCATTGTTGCGATATGTTATAACGTCCGCCATTTTGAAAGTGGCTTAATCTGCCAGCAATCTAATACAAGGAAATGGATCGAACTTCGTAAAGTGCCGTTCTGCAAAGTATTTTAAGTTACTGACACAATCTCTCACACACTATTATATATAATAATAATAATAATGAAAACTATGGACGACATTTCAAACTTTTTGATTTTATTGTTTTGGGGCACAATACTTACATTTGACACAGCTGATTCTGATAACTCGTTTTTGTTAATGAACACACACACACCTTTACAGTGGTGTATTCATGAACATATTAACACAATTCTATTATTCAATGTGCATTTGATAGATCAAGATATGAATAAAAAAAGTAACTTCATTTACATTTTTAGGCATTTTATTGTAAAGATGAACTTTGATGCTTCGTTTCAAGTTGCGTTGCCCCCATGACATTGACACTTCTTGACACAACGTCGTGGGTGGCAAAGCTTCTTGCATCAACATCGTTTTTTTTACACAAAAGTGTGATATTTAATATTACACTAATATCACAGTGTAATGTATATGTGTGATATTACACATATATCACAGATATATATGTGTGATATTACACAGTGTAATATCACATATTATGTGTAATATGTGCTATTTCACTGTAATGTCATTTTACAGTGTATTATCATATATTACACATATTATAGAGTAATCTGTCATATGTGATTTTACTCTGTAATATTACTCTATAATATCACATATTGCACTATAATATGTGAAAGTACAGTGTCTCTAGGCAACCGTGACGTTCAGCGTCAGTCCGTAGAGTTCAGGGGTCCTTCAGCTCCCGCCACGACAGTGTAGCTGACCTTAATATTGCCTGTGTTTTATTTTGGCCATTATTGTTAAACATAGTTTAACAATAATGTGTTTATTATAGGCGTTTCCATCGCACAGTTATGTATCGGTTTAATAAGGGATGCACATTTAACGCCCAAATATGGGACGACCCCATATTTTACGAGATCGGTGGCAATCCTATTCAGGGGTGCCGAGATGCAGTTTTAGAAGTAGGGCTAGATACGCCAAATAAATATTAAAAACATGCATTTTTATTTAGCCCCCTTTACTCTGATACCCCTAAATATAAACCCGTTGTAACCCTCAGAAATCACCATATCATGAAATGTAATTTATTGTGCTGTAGAGGGAAAATTCAGGAAAAGATCTAGCAAAATATCCAATTTAGCCTAATTTGCTCTGAGTCACATGTATCAGTAATGTGTTTGGTCTTATGCTACTAAACATAGCACCAAACTTTATGAAATAGCTCATTGTATTTGATCATTATTGTGAATATTCCCACGTTTTACAAGCAAAGGATGGAACTAATTCAGCTTTTGTCGTTTTTTTTTTTTAAACTTTTTATAAATTACAGCGGCTGCAGGGCGTCAAAGCTAAGCGGAAAATAACACGCGAGGAACAGTTCAAGACCACTGCTTTTCCGCTTTCGCGAGCAATGCGACGGTTTTACGTCTGCGTGCTACGTCGGTTGCTCTGGCAACGACAGACGACGGCTCTCAAAACTAAACCTCGTCCACAGAACAGAAATCACATTCAAGAAAGAAAAAACACAAAAAACGTTTTTTTTTCACGCACAAAAAAGTAAGTAAAAGTATCCAGACCGAGTCAGGTTATATTGTGTTGCATTCAATGTCGTCGGAAAAAAGAGTTTCACGATTTTAACGTCACCCTAGTCGATTAGTCCCTGGTTGGACGACTACATAAAATATGGAAAAGTTAAAGTATGTGTACTTTTACAAATGAATGGCATTATAATTTATTCAATGTTATCTTTTCAGTTGAAATACTTTGATTTGGCGCTTTTAGAGAATTGGGTTTCTCTTGAAGTAAAAGTTCTTCACAAAAGGCACTTTAAACACCAGGAGCAAGAGCTTGTGTAATTTCTCAGTGTTTGCAGCCATCTGGCGCGGCAGAAGTAGCAGTCAGTGACTCAATTCAAATTGAGTCACAAGACAAACAACCATGCAGATATTTAACCAAAAGAAAACACAGGGATATTTTGGAGAAACCAATTAATCTGTCATGCTTTTGGACTGTAGGAGGAAGCAGGAGTACCCAGGAAGAATTTTTTTAAAAATCACACAGGCACCATCCAAACTGCATGCAGAAAATCTATTATTACTATTTGTGATAGTATACAACATACACTAAAAACAAAAATTTACCAAACATTTGGTAACCTACTTTAAGTTGTTACACAAACTTGAAGAAAAGCAGCACAATTTTCATACCATCACAGTTCCAGATGTGCTTGTGAATATCGGCAGAGTCAAAAGTTTTATTCGACTTTTGAAACTCAGACGTTTCCAATTTTTTCTAGAAAAAATTTGGACGTTTGTAGTTCAGAAATTTTAACATTAAGTCTGGAAAATTTGTGAGATTAATTTAAAATGTAAGAATTCTCAGATTAATCAAATATTTTCTGATTTTTTTTAATGTAACACATTTCTCCTTTTTATATCTGCAATCCCCTTAATTTGTTGCTGTGGTATCTTTTTAAATTTTAATTATTTTTGTCAGAAAATGTTGTAGAAATATTGCAGGTTCTGTACCATCAAACAAGTAAATCTAAACTAGACTTGGTAATTATAAAATAAAAGTTAAGCTCGCTGCACGTGAAGAGCCAGAAAGGCCACAGTTGTGAAATCTGAAGGTCATGACTGGCTCTGCTGCAGTTACAGCGCCCCCTGCTGGAGCTCAGGCTCCTCTCCTTCACTGCATCGGCTCTTAGCTCGATGAGTCAGCAGAGGTGCTGGTCAATAATATCTGATCAAGAAGCCATTTATGACCATGATTAAAACAGTCTGCGAATGAAGCACGGTTTGTTTCTGCATTTTATATTTTGACAGAGAAAAACAAGTATTTATTGATGAAGCAACATGGACCAGTTCCGAGGATTGTTTGTGAAACTGGACCAGAACAAGGATGGGTTCATATCAATGGCAGAGCTCCACGAGGAGATGAGGAAGCATGGGATCATCTCAGGAGACGGAAAGGTCCAGGTAACATGTGTTCAGGTGTGTAGAGTCTGCATGAAAATAAATGACCCATTTTGAAAGTTATTTCCTTGTAGAATATCATGGAGTCTTATGATAAAGATAAAGATGGGCTGCTGGATTATAAAGAGTTTCTTAGCTACATGATGGACAGAGAGAGGAAATGGAAAATTCACTTTCATGACCTTGACAAGAATAAGTGCGGTGAGTGATTTCTCCAATTGTAATTGTTTATTTAAGTGAATTCAATGCTTAGCATGGCATTTAATCAGCTTTTAAAAGAGTTGTCTTCTCTTTTGAAATATAATAAACTTCCCTCTGTGGATTAAACATGTTTCATTTAGAGTAAAATATGCTTGTGAATGTCAAACATAAACTTGTGTTTATGGTGCACACACTGCAGCACTAAAGTGACCCTTGCACTTATGCAGAAACTTCTGTTATCACCTGAAGATTTATAGGAAATACTCTGCAAAAACACTAAATCTTACCATGTATTTTTGTCTAGTTTCTAGTTCAAGTATCTCATTACACTTAAAATATGACAAAACTAACTCATAAGTGACTTTAACAAGTTATAAGAGCTTGTTTTAAGTCAATAATTCTTTGATATTGTTCCATTGGCAGATTATTTTACTCATAAAATGGAAAAATATCTTGTTATAAGTGAAATAATCTACTTTTTATATCAATATAAAGAAATTATTTACATAAAACAAGCTCCTGTATCTTGCTGAAAAGTGACTTGTAAGTTAGTTTTGTCTTATTTCAAGCGTACTATGAAATTTGCACTAGACACTAGACAAAATACTTAGTAAGATGTTGTGTTTTTGCAGTGTAAGGAGGATGAATGGACTCAGTGTGTGTTTGTAACTCTCTGTATTTCTTTTTTGATCAGGAGTGATTGACCAGGAGGACATCATATGTTTGTTTAAGGAGTTAGGAGTGATCATATCAAAGCCGAATGCAAAAAAAATTATTCAAATGTAAGATTTCATCTGCCCACTATTTTCTTTAATGGATTAATCATTTTGGTTTGTTAAATAAGGAATTTTTTAAACAAACTCTTATATCTTGCTATAGAGTTACTTGTAAGTTAGTTTTGTATTATTTGAAGTGCACTAGACACTTGACCAAAATACCAAAACATTTTGTGTTCTTGCAGTGTGGAAAGAAAATAACCTAACAGTCAACATGAACAGTTGTGTTTCTGTTTTTCTGACTGTCTTCACCAGGATGGACAAGGACAAGTCCATGACAGTTGACTGGGATGAATTCCTGCATTATATCATTCTAAACCCGGTGGACAACATCGGAGAGCTCGTTTCCTCATGGAAACACAGTCTGGTAAAACCGTCAAACAGATTCTGGCATCAAAAACAAAACGTGTCTGAGGGGAATCCAGGGAAAATCTCAGTGTTGGTGTTTCTGCAGGTTTTCGATGTGGGGGAGAGTCGTGCGATGCCCATCGAGTTCCCAGACAACGTGTCTGGCTTTGGGGCTTGGAAGACGTTTGTTCTGTCAGCTGGTCTGGCAGATGCGGTTTCTCGAACTGCGACGGCGCCTATAGACCGACTGAAGACCCAACTTCAGGTCAAACATTCGTTTTGCAGGCTTGTCTTATTGTAAGAAGTTTAGCTAATTTTCTAGGTATCAAATGAAAAAAGAACCCAATTCAGTCAATTATGAGCAATAAAAACAGGGTTTACAATGCTTGCTGTATTTAACCAAATTTAATAAATTGACTAAAAGCAGGTTTCAGTGCAGCAAAGTTTGCTTTTGAGTAAAAATCACTGTACAGATGTGGAACGACTTGGTTATTTAAAGACAAATAATTGGTGATGTTGCCAACATTTTCTATTGTAAAATCATTTTATTTTGTGATAAATTTGCAGATAGAAAGTTTCCATTTACAAATTTGTGTAATTTCTGAATTGAAGTCAGGGGCCACACACAATCAGTTCAGGGGCCACACTTTGGACACCTATGGTCTAAACTTGGCGGTGGTTTAAAAAGTTGAGGTTTCTGCGTTACAGAAACTTTTCCTCTTTGCTCTGCAGGTTCTGGGGTCCAAGGCTTTTTCCCAAGGCTTTCAGGAGCTGAGAGGAGGAGGTTTGCGGTCGATGTGGCAAGGCAACGTTGTCAATGTGCTGAAAGGTACTCCGCAGTCCACACTGCAATGTCTTATCTATGCACAGGTGAGGCCCGTCCGAGCATCTGAATAAATCATGAATTGCTTCTTGTTTGTAAGCTGCTCTGCTTCACCCAGATGAAAGTCTACACCCAAAACAGAAGCCAGGAGACTCTGACTGTGCAGCAGCGCTTTGGCTTGGGTTGCATCTCTGGAGCGGTGGCCCATGCTGCTTTCTACCCATTAGAGGTATCAGAGATCAGAGACAACTCTGAACGCTTTATTGTTTCTGTTTTGTTCGTTAGAAGGATGTTGACTTCATTGGGACCTCTGGTAAAGATGTGCAATTAGCTTTAAAACAAATTTAAAGCTAATTGCACAAATTATTTCAAAAAATAATTTGTGTGCATTTGTCCTTTACGAATAAAAATAAATTGCACATGAAAGGGGTCCACTGTGAAAATTCACATTTTTTACCTATTTATGCTTCCATCTGGGTATCTATTGTCTCTAAAAACAGAACAAGTCCTGAAAAAACAATTAGATGTTCTTGGAAAACAGGTTGTTTTCCAGACCCGTTTCCGTGCAACCCAAGCAGCGTTCCAGCAGGTTTGGTCGGCTGGTTTTAGCGCTGCACAATGGCTGCTGGAAAAGACGAGTGTTTTGTTGTTGACCCACCATCCAGAGACCACTTTCTGGACTCTTGGTTGTGCAGGAGGCTCCACTTCTGCCTTTCAAAGCTGTATGGTTGCATAATTGCGAATCTGTTCGCAGCTATTTTTACATACGAGTGTAAGCAGCAGCTTATTTGGATATAAAGTGACAAGACGCCCTAAACCAACTCATTCTAAAACAAACTCAAAATAAGCAGAAGTGACCAGACTAAAAATCTAATTACCTAAGAATGATTTTGTGTAATTTTTTTTTTCTTTTTGTAGACCACAGAGATATCCTAAGCTGAACAGATCACCTTCAAATATCGGTGATTTTCTTTTTGAACTCTCCACCTTCTCTAACCGCTCCATAGGTGTTGAAGGTGAGGCTGAACCTGCAGCAAGCCGGCACGTATCATGGCGTTGTGGCATGCGCCAGATCTATTTACAAACATGAGTCCATGTCGTCCTTTTACAGAGGCTTCAGGCCCAGCATCCTCTGCATGATCCCCTATGCAGGTGTGGAATGTGCGGTTCATCAGGTAAGCCAAACTCAATCCCACGAAGATCAAACACATATATCCTGCTGAAATAAACTCATTTGCTTCTCACTGCAGTCTATCATGAGCTGGGCAAAAAGCAATCCCACCTACAGTAGCGACTCCAAGCTGTTTTTCTTCAGTTTTGTGGCTTTTGCTTCTGGGCAAATGATCAGCTACCCGCTGGCGGTGATCCGGACGCAGCAGCAAGCTCAGGGTAACCACTGGCATCTCTGGCTGCGTTTCCATTACAAACGAGCGCAAAATGTTTGTCGATATTCTGCCAATGTGAAAAATAAATCAACAAGCAATTTTGCAACTGCAAAATATGAAACAAAATTACATGTGAAGAAGTTTGACTTCTTCCTGATTTTTATTGGCGGTTGGGAAAAAAAAAATAAAAGTCAGGTTCATTTCAGAATGTGATTCTTGAGAATGTGTTCTTGCATTATTATTAAGCCCTTATCATTATATTACTTAAAAATAGTATAAAAAAACAATATTATTTTTTAATATTACAATATTATTGTTTATTGTGATAACTTTTGGAGCAATTTATTGTCCAGCACAATTGATAGGCCTAGCAGTAACATATGGTTGTTGATAAAGTGCAAAAAAATTTTTTTCTTTGCAGTTTTGTGAAATACACAAATTTTGTTACAGATTAAAAACCATCTCAGCCTAGAACAAACCTTTTTTTTTAAATAAAAACAATCATTTCTTCAAAATTGGCATTTTTCCATTAAGTTTATTTCTTTTAAGATTTTAAGGTTAATGGAAACGCAGCTTCTGTAACACAACTGTATTTTCTGGAAGCAAGTAAACGTACGGTCATACTTTGGTTTCTTTTCCAGCCTTCATCTCAAATTCACATCCTGTCTCTGGCGTATTATCAGGACTCACCGGGATATATGAAAGGAACGGATTTAGAGGATATTATAACGGCATGGGAGCCAGCTTCGTAAGAGCGATTCCATGTGCGCTAATAAACTACAGCCTGACCAGGAAATTTGAAAATATATTTTCTTCCATGGAAGCTTGAGGACCTCAAACAATTGTTTTATTTTTATTTTTCTGGTGTTTCCTGAGTTTCAATGCATAACAGACTGGTTTCTGTTGCTTAATTTAAACTTTTAATACATCTGACCAAGAAAATAAAACCAGCATCAGGATTTGAACCTGCTCAGGGCTGAGGCACGTTTGACTGAACACATATATTAACAAAAACTGTAATGATAAGTTCATTAAGGTCTGCTGTGAATGGAAATGTGTTCTGCTGGTGTTTGTTTAATAAAATTCTACCTTAAAGTGGGACAGACAACTTTTGTGTACATATAGAGTTGGTTTATTTGAATAACGATTTGGAAAAAAAATGTACTTTTAAGATTTGATTTACTACTTTGTACTTTCTACTTTTACTTCAGTAATTTCATTATGAAGTATCGCTCTTACTTGGGTAAAATGTCTGGATACTCTACCCTTCGCAAGGAACTTCACTGGATTAAGAACAAGCTTGTTTTAACTAAAAATTCACCAGACACACACCTGCAGTTTGTGTCAAAGTTTCATAAGTTTTAAATTAAAAGAAACTGATTTGGAAATTTGTTTTTATTTTGTTTTGTTTTGTAACTATGATATTTATCTGAATTATTTTAATGTTGGTCTTTAAAAGTATATATTTATACCAAAATTGTGTTGGAGAGAATAAAAATGAATATGACTTTAATTTCAGAACTCTGAGATTAAACATGATTTTTATAATATTATTACATTTTGTTTCAAAACAATACACATGCGGTTTAAGTTGGAATTAACATGATTTTGATTATAATTTCAGAATTCTGAGTTTTTAATTGTTTTCCAGCTTACTTTGAAAACTATTAACATGAGTTTAAAGTCGAATTTCTGACCTTAATTCTAGATTGGTTATTAACAGTATTCCACCTTACATTTGAAACCATGCGTGTGATATTAAAGTCAGGTTTATTTCTAGAGCCCCAAATATTCTTTTAAATCTACTTTATCTGCAGACTGAGGTTTTTCTTTGCCTCTTCCCTTTATTAATCTCGCGTTTATTTTTTCTTATCGCGAGACTGAGCCAGTTACCGCGAGTTCAGACGTCTGCCGGCGGTGAATGAGGCCCTCCATCTTGTGGCGCGGCAGAGGAGAACAGCAGCAGAGATGGCAGACTACAGTAGCGTGGCACCACCGTCCTCTAACTCTGGTGCGGGGATGAACGATGCTTTTAAAGACGCTTTACAGCGAGCGAGACAGGTAAAAAGTACGATTTGGACAAGAAATGATACAAATATCACGAACTTCCTGGTGAAGTGACCGATTTTCGTTGACTCCCTGCAGTTGGTAGCGCGACAGACTAAGCTAAGCTAGGCTAATTTAAGAGGATGACTAATGTTACGCCACTGCAAAAGTGAAAACAGCTGTATAAATCGATCACTGCTGCATAATTTGATAGAAAATGACTAAATTGTATCCAGTCTAATAAAAATAACCCGCTTTTATTGTATGAATGTATCAATAAGACATTTTAAGGGAAACTTAAAGCGGTCCTTTGTTAGTCCGACTTCCGGGCAGAAGTAGGCCGCAGGCCGCGCGCATCAACCCCTACTTGATGTTCTGGAGATGGAAAATATCCTAAAAGTCGCGCTTTTCTTGTGTTTTGGTTTTTCAGATTGCAGCCAAGATCGGCGGAGATGGCGTTGCGGCTCCACCAACAAACGAGTTTGGCTACGGAGGCCAGAAAAGGCCCCTGGAGGACGCTGGTGGGTATTTTCCCATGCCTAACCTGAATATCGGTCAGTGGCTCAAATCGATCTTAATGCAACTCTTCATGATTAATGCTTCCCTCTCTTTCAGTAGCCTCTACTGTACATTCACATCTTTTCAGCTGTCTGTAACCCAACATTAATACTAACACAACCTACTAACCACATTAGAGGTTGATTTTTTTCCTCACGTTTTCAAGTAAAAACTGTAACAGTTGCATGCTTCACCCCTTACTTTTGTTGTGAATCTACAGAGCTGTTTTAGCAATGCCTAAATGTAATTTTTTCAGTTGTTTAGTGAAAGAAATTGATAAAAAATTGTTTGTATAAAGAATGTAAATCTTGACTTTTAAGATAGTTTGTCTTGCATTATTACAGTAACATTAAAATGAGTCCATGTATAAATGACTTAGTACCACTAGATATGAGGTGTAAAGCGTGTAATGTTTATGTAAAGAAAGACATCTGATACCAAGTTAGGGCTTTGAATTAAACTTTTTAGACAGATTTTGAACAGCAATGATCAAGAAGTTTATTAAATACACTATACAAACATCGTATTTAAATGGAGAAGAGTTTTTTTTTAAGTTTATGAATAAATTGTGTGCAGATTAACTTTTGATGTCATTGCAGTTAGTCTAAAATGAAAGCTACAATCTGTATGTTGTTAGATTGGCTTTAGAAATGTATCATATTTAGCCAACAGTGTGCTGAATGTTCTGCAGAAAGCAAAACTGGAAGTAAAATCTCATATATCCTTAGCCTATGAGGATAAAACATTTATAACATGTACAAGTTATTTCCAGGTTCAACAGCATCAATAAGAGTGTGTGTAAGCAGATGCGATTATGTGGTTTATTTTGTGTTGTTTTATCACAGATCAACCAGAAACAAAGAAAGTAGCCACAAATGATGGTAAGTGTTTGTTGCTCTTCTTATGTCTTTTAAAAACTAGTTTAATTTCCCATCAAATGGACTGTAATGTTTCCCCACAGCCTTCTCAGCCATGGGAGGAATGGGCGGACCTCCAAGGTAAGCTTCTCTCAAATCTAGCAGGCAGATGTGTGTGTTCAGGCAGATGTGTGTGTTTGACACACTCATAATTTTGTCTTCATTTCTAGATCAACATCAGAGGAATTCAAGGTTCCAGATGGAATGGTTGGATTTAGTAAGTCATTTTTTCTAGTGATGTAAATTGTGATTTTTGTTCTTGTGTGAAACTGAAATATTTCACTCTGGTTTAGTTATTGGAAGAGGAGGTGAACAAATATCCCGCATCCAGCAGGAATCCGGGTGTAAAATACAGATTGCTCCAGGTGAGTGATTTTTTTTGGCAATAAAATATATAACTATTATTGCATTTATACTTGAGTGTTGAAACTAGGGCTGAAATTATTATTCGCAATGAAACAATTACGAAAATAGTTGCCAACTAATTTAGTAATCGATCAATTGCTAACAAGAGTATACCGACTTGATAACTAAAATAATGGTTGCTGCCTTAGTTGAAACTTGTTTCTGTGTTGTAGACAGCGGAGGGATGCCTGACAGGTCGGTGACATTAACGGGGGCGCCGGAATCAATCCAGTAAGCATTCAAGAAAAATGTATTATAAATTTATAAAATGATACACCTGATTACATTGTAAACATGTCGAATTAAATCCTCCCTTTCAGGGCCGCAAAGAGACTTCTTACTGAGATCGTGGAGAAGGGACGTCCGGCTCCTGCTTTCCACCACAACGATGGTCCGGGAATGACGGTCCAGGAAATTATGGTGCCTGCTTCCAAAGCTGGCCTCGTCATTGGGAAGGGAGGAGAGACCATCAAAAGCCTTCAGGTATGTAAAGGATCCTGAATCAAAAAGCAGAAAGGTGTAAGTTACTGGGGGAAACGCAACCTGATTGTGGTGCTGCAACATGCAGGAGCGAGCCGGCGTGAAGATGGTCATGATCCAAGACGGACCTCAGAACACGGGTGCAGACAAGCCACTCCGCATTTCAGGAGACCCATTTAAAGTCCAGGTGAGTTTAATTGTGGTTTTTACATTTCAGGATAGAGTTTTCTTGACCTGAGTGACGTTGGTCTCCTTACTTTTTTCAAATCAAACAAAACTGGTGTCGAATGTTTGTGCTACTTTTTTCATTTGTGCTGCTGTCATTTTTAATGAAATGATCAAAGTTTCTGGAAGTTGAAGAAGGTAAACTAGTCCCACATTTATGGAATCAAACAAATGTGGTGTCAGTCCACTCTGCTATCTTTTGCTGATAAAATTTCCATTTGTGATGCTTTTATTTTGAAGATATTAATTAAATGAACCCACATTATCCAAATCAAACAAAATCTATCTAAAAAATCTGCTACATATATGTGAGACCATTTTAGCAGCAAATGTAGCATAGTTAATTGAGACCGAAATTGTTTGATTAAAGAAAGTTGGAGTCTTATTGCTTTTCTATGACCTCTGGAAACTCAAAATGATAGCAGCCCAAACCAAAATCTCTGCTGCACAACCACTTGATGCCATTTTGTTTGATTTGAAGAAGGTTTTGTGGAACATCTTCATTCAGGTGTCTTCCTGATATGATTTAAATTAATCTGCATGTTTTTTGTCCATATGTAGTGACATTTTATCCTCTGATTTTCAGCAAGCCAAAGAGATGGTGATGGAGCTGATCAGAGAGCAGGGCTTCAGGGAGCAGCGGGGCGAGTATGGGTCCAGGGTCGGAGGAGGAGACAGCTTAGATGTGAGTGTCTGTTGTTATACTGTTTAACAGTCTTTTAATCCTGTGTTTAATTTGACCTACTTATTGCTATCGCTTAGGTTCCAGTCCCGCGGTTTGCAGTTGGGATTGTCATCGGCAGAAATGGAGAGATGATAAAGAAAATACAGAACGACACAGGAGTCAGGATTCAGTTCAAACCAGGTGAGCTGGTTAAATGAATGACAATCTGCTGTTTGGAGTTTGTTTGAAATTGTTCTGGTCGATGATGAAAACTCATGCACCACGCTGACAAGCTGATGGATAACCCTAACCCAAACCAATCTGAGACCTAAACACAGATTAATGGTGAGTAGCTGCGTTTCCATTACAAATGGACCTCACAATTAGTTGCAGTCAAATTAGAAACTTAAAAAATCACACGCAAGTTTCATATTTTATGAGATTAAATTTGGGTCCAGTCGATTAATGTTTCAACCTTCTAGTGTTGTAATTTGGCTGCCATCCAACAGGGGGTGCCTCTGGTCGTGCTTAAACCAACCAGTTGCTACATAAACAAAGATGGCGGGGCCATACTAGAATGGGAAAGAGAAACAGTCCAACAAAGCCCAATTTGGGACCTTATGCGGTTCTATATTCAGTATTCAATACAGCAGACACAAGACATTGTTGAAATGGCTTTTAAATTCAAACATTTAGCCTTTTGCTATAGAAAGATGGTTGGCCCTCTTGATGCAAGAGAAAACTCAGATTTTTAAGAAAATGGCCGCGTAAACATTAGTCATCCGACATAAGGTCAATGGAAATGCAGCTACTGATGATACATTTAGTTGGTGTGTTTAAACCATGTTGTTGACAGACTCAGCAGCCGCTGAAGCTAACGCCTGTACCTTTGTTCCAGATGACGGCACCACGCCTGACAGGATAGCACAGATCATGGGCCCTCCAGACCAGGCCCAGCACGCAGCAGAGATCATCTCGGACCTGCTGAGGAGCGTCCAGGCCGGAGGCCCTCCAGGACACGGAGGGGGCAGGGGACGTGGTCGTGGGCAGGGCAACTGGAACATGGGGCCCCCTGGTGGCCTGCAGGAGTTCTCCTTTACAGTCCCAACCATGAAGACCGGGCTGATCATTGGAAAAGGTAATTAATTCATCTTGTTTATTTATTACATTTAATTTAAATGAGGGTT